CCTCGTCCAGCCTCAACGACTTTTGAGGCCGGGCCTCGTCCAGCCTCAACGACTTTTGAGGTCGGGCCTCGTCCAGCCTCAACGACTTTTGAGGTCGGGCCCGTGTTGGCCTCCAAAAGGAGTCAGCCAGCCCTTTTTTTTAAAATTATAATAGTAAAAATTTAAATAATTATATAAAATTTAAAGTATATTATAAAATAAAATTTATTAATTATATAGAAATTATAATAGTAAAAATTTAAATAATTATATAAAATTTAAATAATATAAAATTAGTTTAAAATTTAAATAATTATATAATAGTATAAAATTTAAATAATTACAATATACAATATTATATTAGTATATTTATAATAGTATAAAATTTAAAGATTGTAATAGAAAAAAATATATTAGTATATATTGTTCTTTTATATAAATTATATTACGAAATAGAATTTATTGGTATTATGTTAGAAGTTAGAAATTATTGTGTTACAGATTGATTAGCTTAAAAAATAGAATTTATTAACATTATGTTAGAAGTTCAAAATTATTGTGTTAAAGAATACAATAGATTATGAAGTAGAAATTATTGCATTATAGATTAGAATTGATTGTGTTATATTACAATTATTCTGTTATAGATTATTATTATAGTAAGTTATAATTGATTGTATAATAAATTTAGAGTACAATTTACTATTATTATGTTAGAAGTTATAATTGATTGTCTTGTAAAATTATTAACATACATCGTAATATATTGCAGGCGCCGGTCGAAGATTTTGGAGGAGACGGTCGAGATTACAGACCTGCTTTCGTTACATATGAGCTATTTGATAATTGTGAAGAAGCTATTAAGTGGGCAAAAAAAATTGGCAACTGAGAATGGTTTCGAATTGGTAATCTCGAAACACGATAAAGAAGGAAAGCATCGATGGTTGAGGTGTAATCGAGGGGAACGTTACAGAGGTAATGTTACGAAATTTGTTAATGCTGTTTTGAGACGTTCGAAAACTAAAGCGACCGGTTGCCCTTTTATGATAAAAGTCAAATTGGACGCACAATCTAAAAAATGGTATATTTAGGTTCCTTATGATGATGATAAAAAGGGAACGCATAATCATGCGATGATTGTGTATCCCGAGGGTCATCGACAGATGAGCGGACTTAGTGATTCATCTAGAGAGATTGTCCGTGATATGAGTGGTGCTCAGGCGAAACCGGCAGCAATTTTGGCTGCGATTCAGGATAAAAACTCTGTAGACAACGCTACCGTGCGACAAGTTTATAACTATAAGACTAAAATGCGCAGAGATAGTTTACAGGGTAGAGATGTGGTTGGTCAGCTTATTCACTTTGCTAGAATTAGCAATTATATAGTTTACGCTGAGACTGATGACGTCACACAGGCGTTGACGCATGTGTTGTAACGCCCCACTTTATTTTGAAAGATTTATCGAATTAATTTAATAAAAATCACTATGAATTTTTGCAAATCTCAATTAAATAAAAACTTAGTAGGCGCTACTTAATTTACCAAGAGCAATTTATCCAACATACAAAATAAATCAAAATGTACCTACACATTCATCATACTCCATAAGCAATAAAACAACAGCACAATCCAACACTTTTTCAAAATCAATCTAGTTCAAAAATAATTAATTAAACCATAATGAGTTCATAAATGCGGAAATAAATAATAGTCTTAAACAAAATCAAGACCACCCACTCGCCTTGCCTCGTCACCCGCCAACTGCTTAACTTGCATCCGTGAAGAGCAGGTGGGAGTGAGTACAGTTAAATATCGTACTCACACTATGCATATGAATAACATAATATTGGTATGGTCGCAACATGAACATAAACATTAATCACAACATGTCTCATCTCCTAATCAACATCACACCATTTAACCTTACTCCTGTGCACATCTATCGCTAGCCGCAGAACGGGGATTCACTACCCGAAGGCGGGAGTACGTGCCACTGTAACGGACACGGCCTTCCATATGGGCTTACGTACCTCACAAGGGCACGACCATATCAGGACTTAAAGGAGATTGTCACGCAAGGGCACCGTACCGTAACTCGACGGGGACAACCGTACCGACGGCCGTAACAGCTCACATCGATAGGCTACATGTTCATTTTCATACGTAGATCACACCAAATTTGCAACATGATTAAAATCAAACATATGCATAGATAATTTTTTTAATAACAACCCACCTGAAAATTCGGATGGACGATAGCAATTATCAGAAAAGACGTGGGTCGAGGCTTGACTCCTCAAACACCTACATTAAGTCAAGGTCCTACAATAAATATCTTGACTTAAAAAGGAAAACACAAAACAGACCTAGTCGAACTTGTTTCGACTAAGTAGTTCGTGAAGTTCTGTGGATGTTGGAACATTAAGACTCGGTACTAAACTTGACCAAACCACATAAGGGAGTTCACATAAATACATCTAAGGATTGACCAAGTCAAACTCACATCAAAACGAAAAGCAAGTCGATTCCCAACTTTTCATTTCAAAATCATGTTTCGAAAATAGTAATCATTAATCACATGAAATAGATGATCAGGCTACCCTACGACTTAAGCTCTAAAATTTTAGCCAAAATTACATCTCTCAGTAATTAGTGAAACCACCAAAAATTCAGCTTCAAACTCAAAGCACACAAATTTGCAAAATTCCTACAAGAAATCAGCAAAAACGCACATGAAATTATATCTGAACCTAATGAATGAATCAGGACTTGAAAATTTAACATAACAACATACAGCATGCTAGAGTCAATGTGTGAAAATCTCAGCCCTTAACATTAACTGCTGCTATTTTTAAAAATTCATACAAGATTCAGCAGTTTATGGAATTTAAATCAAAACCGAATCAAAATGAACTCTAAAAATTTCCATCTTTTAACAAAATGATAATATACATAAAATGAGCATCTTAACAAAACTTCAGAATTTTTCACGAATTAACCAATTTATAAAAAGTCAAACAATTTTCAGCAGATTTGATAAATAATTTATTATCCATATCAAATCAAGTCTAAAAATTCTAAAACTTTTAC